GACAGGAAGCCGGAGTCATGAGTCACAGGAAGTCGTAAGTCGGGAGTGATGTCATGCTGGACAAAAATCAGAGTCCGAATAACATTTTTTCATATTCGGATTCGAGTCCGAATAGTCACTTCGTAAAAGGTTTTCCCCCAAATCGAAAATAGTTGCCTCCCTCGCTCGAGAGCTGGCCAGCCCGTTGGCAATTTTAGTCGCCTCGCACGCTCAGCAGAGTGAGAGAGAGGGAGGCGAGTTTTGTTGCCTGGAGCGCTCAGTGACAGGGGTCCTATGATGCCCGAAATGAAAAAACCGGGTGAGAATAATATATATATATATACCCAATTTATCCTCACCCCGGGTGAGAATAATCAATCCGAAAATCTAAAGTTTAGTACAGTTCAGTAGTAAAGTCAAGATAATCTAGATGGGAGTGTATACAGAGCCGGTAACCGGGAACGAAGTCACAAAGTATACAGACCTGGTAGGGGAACTCTTTTGTGATTTCGGAAAGTTTCAGCGCCCTCTTGGCTCAGGGTAGACCACAGAAGTATACACACTAAGGTAGACCTAGGTTCTTCTAGATCTATTTTATGGCCTAGGTCTAGATCTAGACTAACAGATAAAAATCATTGATCTAGTTTCGAGGCTAGAGATCTAGATCTAAATGAAGATTGAAGATTCTTCGATGAACGATCGTTTTTTCTCCATTTTGGAGTTGGAGGAATCACAATTTGAAGAAAAGAACGATGTCATAATTTCAATTGAGCTGTCCCCTCTCTACTTCTCTGCCTCTCTCTCTCTCTGTGCGAGTGAGTCGCTCGCATTCTCTTTTTCTTTGTTTGTCTCTGTCTTTCTTTCTCCCCACCTATCTCCCACTCTATCTTTCTCTCGTTCCCTCCTGCCAAATGAGGTATTTCTTAAGGTAGTGTCAATTGCCACTGAGTGACGCGGTGGCAATTGACAAAAACTGACTTTTTGTCAACGCTTTCGTTTTGTCAATTGCCACCGAGTAAATTGGAGCTCTTTTGCGTTGGTGGGTAGATCTAGCTTATTGTGCTTGAGTGCTCGGTGTTGTGCGTTCGCCTCTCTGTCCCTCCGTGTGTGTGCGCATGTGTGTTTGTGTGAGTGTGTGTGAGTGTGTGTGTGTGTTTTCCTGACCCACGTCCCCCAATATATGTTCCCCGATATAACGTGAATTTCTGCTTGAGTTTGTGTGCATTTGTGACCTTCTACTTCTAGAATTGCCAGTGTTGGTTCTACACCAAGTGTAGGCTAAGTCTAGCCTAGATCTAGGCCTACGTCTCATTGAAAACACGCCAAGTTGGTACCATAGCTCTAAAAATTAGATGCTCGTCCAATGAAATTAGTTGAAAACAAATTGACCCATTAGACACACATTATGTATAATGCTAAAGATAGTGTCGTTTTCAGACTTGCCACCGCATCACTCGGTGGCAATTGACGCTACCATTTCTTACATTTTGCTAGCACTTCTCTCCTCTCTCTCTCTCGCTCACACTGACACACACACACACACTCTCACTCTCTCTCTACCGGGTCTGGGCGCTGAAACTTTCCGAAATCACAAAATGTAAGAGTTCCCCTACCAGGTCTGTATACATACTTCGTGACTTCGTTCCCGGTTACCGGGTCTGTATACACTTCGAATCTAGATCTAGATCTAGATGGGTTTGGAAGAAAAGATAAGAAAGTGGCTATTCTCACCCGCCCGGAAGTTCTCGCAAGATCAACTCCTCCCCTCTTCTTTCTCTCTCTGTCTCTTTC